ACGAAAAAATGGAAATAATGAAACAAATAAACTCCATTGAGCTACTTCTACATGCCAGGATCTCATTCATCACATGCATTATAGTGGATAGATAAAGTTCCAACTATAACTCGGAGCATATACATACACATTTACAGTCCCAGCCCTATGATTGGGCGTATAAAAAAAAAACATGAAAGTTATGTACATCAGCCTTAGATGGACACTTGAATAGCAAGCCAACATCTTAACAACTTCACAAAACGAATGGCTTTGTATAGTGCCTGGACACGTAAAGGCTGACAAAAGAAAGCGGCGTTATGGCTAGGACTGACCACCTGATTGATGACCTACAGAAACAGACATAACAGAGAGTGAGTCGGGCTCAGTGAATAGTAATACATAATAAACGATGTTTAACTTGAAACATAAAACACATCAATGCATATAAAGATGCAAGGTTCACATGGTTAGTCCGATTCTGTGCTAAGTACATAACGACCTTAGGCCCAATCCTGCAACATAGACATATGGCTATAAGCCCTTGAAACGTGGTGGCACGAGGCCCTTGAAACATATGAATAGGTTAGGTGCTCATACATTTACATTTCTTTAATCATTAGCATAAGTGCATAATCAACATGTACAATAGAATGCTAATGCCATTCGTTAGCTGTAAGTAAAACGTACTACTACTCACAGTGTTGAGATGACGTGTTACTTCCTCCCGGAGTGTGTCCTGCACACATTCAAAACTTGCACATTAGTTCCCTTTTCTTTCTTAAGTCATTTCCTGTATCATTACACTTTGCATGAATTTACAACCATCTTAAAATCATCAGAAAAATATTCTAAAAATACCAGAGAGTCAAGCATGCAAAACTAAGCGAACCACTTTTCTAGCCCGGGCCACACGTGCGGCCGGACCCTCCGCTCGAGCGGCCATGCACCGCACGTGCGGTCCTCCTCCTCCGCTCGAGCGACCGTAGACAGTATGCATTCCCAATTTTTTCTTCTTTGGCCGCACGTGCGGCCATGACCTCCGCACGTGCAGTGGTGACCCCTGTTTTGGGGTAACTCGGTTCCAACCCAAATTTCAACATCACTAAGTCAATTTACATGCAAACCGGGATGAAATTCATGCAATATATTAACCTAACATCACCATAGCATAAATTGGAACTTGAGCAACACAAAATACACATGATTAGAAGCTTAATCAAGTCACAACTTTTTCAATTTCCATCCTTGAATCCAAGTCAAATAAAATCTACCTTGGCCAATACATAGAAATGATTCCACTTAGATGAATTTCACACAAGAATGAAGCTTAAAAATCACCTACAACCATAATCACAACCCATGTGGACATGAACTAGATCTTTACTTTATAACCCATAAACAAAACTTGATTTTTACATATATAGCCATGTTCATATCTTGTTGTTCAAGTATATCAAAGAGGAATGAAATGCAATTTCCCTTACAAGGTTCAAAATAACACATCAACAACATGAAGAAAAACTTATTCAATTCTTTGGGTGCCACACACACACATACATAACCTTAATTTGTTTGAACATCCAAGAAATTCTTCATCCCTTAACAAGAGAGGAGTTAATGAAAGTAAATCACCCATACCTTGAGCTTCAATTTCTCTCCAAACCCTTCTAATTTTTCCCCAGCTCACCTCCTTGTTGCTTTCCCCTTTCTTCCTTCTTCTCTTATTTTCTTATCCTCTCCAGGAGATAGCCACGAAAATGAATCCCCAAATCAAGTGTTTGAAGGCAAATTCATAGATAGATATAAAGGTGAATAGGACGAAATCCAATCGTTTAATCATTCTGAAATTGAAATTTCGTAAACATGCTTAATATTACATAAAAATTATACTGATCACAGATATATAATCAATTTCAGATAATTAAGCCGTTAAGGCCTCCAATTTCTTATTCAAATGTGTTAATAATGACAGATAATGGTCTTGCGAAACAGATAGACACCCTAAAACATGGAGTTCGTTTACTTAATCTTAATTTCTCATGGGATTTTACAGTAAACATTTAAAAGCACAAAACAAGGACTGAAAATATATCAGAAAACATGTACGAGGGTCGTGTTATTACAGGCACCTTTGTGGATCTAAGGTATGCTTTTTATGCTCTGACTAGTGAGTTAAGCACTATTGGCTATCTTTGAGAGATAATTACTGACTTGATTGTCGGAGTGCCCTCAGGTGGACAAACCATCGTCGGATTATTATCTTTCTGTAACAGGTTATTCGGGCTTAATATATCCTGTCGGTATTCTCCAACTAAGTTCCCCCCTTTGGTTGTGTGGTCGGAAATCAACACCCACAATTTTCATTCAATTTATTAATGGGTGTTACCAATTAGATTAAATTGGCATAATTTGAAAAAATAAAGGGCAAAATTGATGCAACTAAAACTATAGGATCAAATTAACACAATAGGCAACCTATGTGTAATTTGTGCTATGAAAAAATAAGAAGTGCTTTTAAGAAAAATTAAATGTGCTAAACTAAAAAATTTAGACAGCGTTTGGTAGAGATTTCTAAATATGATTTAAGAATAGAGCTGTATTTTGAATTTGTGAATTTTGAAATTATGATTTGAGTATGAAAAATTTGTTTGGTTATGAGTTTTGAAAAAAGTTTTGAATTGAGTTTGAAATGAATGATGTGACATACGATATTTAATTCAAAAACTTACAACTCATAACTAAACACACAATCCAAAATCCTATTCAAAACTCATAAAAAAAAAATTAAAAAACTTTGGAAATATTTTTTTATTTAAAATATAAAAATAACAGGTATAAAAAAAAAATCGAAAACTGTTCCGGTCAACTGGTCGGATGTTCAGGAGGACGACCAGATTAGCCAAATTTTCCCCTCTAAAAAGGGGTTTTCAAAAGTAGGTATGAAATTATAATTTGAAAACTCAAAACAAATACTACACTCCAATCAATGGGTCCAAACACTTTAATTTTGTAAGGTAAGAAAAACAGAAAGTGAACACACATTTCTGTGTTCAAAGTTCTTATGCCAAGCGATGGCAAAAATAAAAAAGGGCTTTTAAAAAAATTAATTTTAAAGGGATCTTAAACGATTTAGAGTGGACATAATTATAATTTCTCAAGAATAAACAAAAATAATTTGCAAATTTACTAAACTAATGTAATTATAAGATAAAATAAAATTGAGAAGGGGCACGTGCTTGTCCTGGTTACCTCCCGTTGGACGGGCACATCTCCAACCCTTGATTCAAATTTATATTTAACTTAAATTCAGGTAAAATACTCAAAATTTTGATTAAAGATTCATCCACACAATTTGTTCTGTCTGAATGTACACAATTGAAACTTTGATCAGTAATTATATGCATTGCGGAACAAATTGTGTGAATGTAGGTGTGCCACTAGAATTTATATGTTCTACTTTCTTTTTTTTTTTAACCCAAATCAAATCAATGGAGACTCAAATGTTTACCTCAAACATTTGAAGATCAATTTCTAGCTTTCAAATTTTACAATCCTATCATTAGTGAAGTTTCTACTAAAATTCATGCTTAAATTTAAGTTTGTCTATTGTAGTGTTTGGTATCAAATTAAGACTTTTAATCAAAATTTTAAGGGATAGAGTAGAGATGAGCTAACTAATATACAAAATAAGACTGTATCTAATAGCAGCGTAAAATAGATTTGAGCATTTCTTAGGCCTCGTTTGGGAACAGGCTAATTTAGTAACTTTTTGGCTATTTGGCTAAAAAGGTAAGTAAAAAAAACTTGTATGTTTGGGATGACTTTTTGGCTAATTACGAAAAGATGTGCAAAAAGTAGAAAGAAAAGAGAATCTTTGACTTTTTGGTATGGATTGTTGGCTTTTTGACTAATTTAGTAACTTTTTGACTAATTGGCTAAAATAGCCTCTTGCCAAACGAGGCCTTAGAATTGCCTTTGGCCAGCATGGCTGATCTCTCTCTCACAAGTGTCATTCAATACTACGAGTACGAGGTCTTCGTAACTCCAATACGGCCATTGCAAGGAAAGAAATCGAAAGCACATAAACAAGAAGAAGAAGAATCAGCTGCCAAGGATTCCCTGCTGTTTCTCTGCCTCTCCTTTTTTTATTTTTTTGTTTTAGGAAGAGAGGAAGCCAAACAACATTAATCAGAATCGATCCCGTACGACACCACACGACACCGAAGAGGGAGGAGAGAGCTGGTGGATTGGATCAATGGAATCAAAGATGCTTTGTGCCTTTTTTGGTCAATCCAATCGTTTCCAACCACTCTTAATTTTTTTATATATATTTTATTTAATTTGGTTTTAAATTTGACTAAAAAATTTGATTTTATATAATAGTCCTAACTTGAACCTATCCTTAACCACCGGCCGCCACCTCCAACCCCTCCCGGTTGCTGAACCCACCCTTTGTTAGGTCAACGTTGGAGGTGTTCTTTCTAAGTAGGGTTCTGATGGAGTTGTTATTTTCAAGGTTCTTTGAAGTGTTCTTTGAAGCGTTCTTTCGAGTTTTACGTAAGAAGTTATTTGAAGACATATATATGCAAAAGATTGGCATTACCGACCAGGTGAAAAGTTTTGACGAAGAATTGAGGTTGTTGCAATCTTCGTTGGAAGATGTGGAAGCTCAGGTAGAACTAGTTGAATATGAAAAGAAATGGGGAGATATAGCTGAGGAAATTTTCCTGGAGATTGAGGAAGTCGTTGACATGTTTCAAAACAGACCAGGTTGGTATCAGAGGGTAGGGCTTTTCAAATTTATTATTCGTAGTGTTAATATTCAAAGGAAGGTGCGCAAGATCCAGGTCCGGCTCAGGGTTGTCTCCGAAGGAAAGCCTAAACTAAATTCTCAAGCGGGGCCATCCTCTTCTCAAGAAGCAGCTCAAATCACCCATGAAGACAAAATCACCCAAGTCGACGATGCCATCACAGCTGTTGTTTCCGTTCTAGACAAAATCAACGCCATGCTGAGTCAAAAGTTGCTTATCAACAGGAGAGTGATACGAGATATGGAAAGCACCAGAGATGAATTTAGAAAACTGCTTGGTATTCTCATCAATGATTTCAAACAAATAGATGAAAGAACAAAAGCTTGGGTGAAGGAAGTCAAAGATGCGTCAGACTTAGCACAACATATCTTTGAATCCTTCATTAACAAAAGACAACACCTCGGAAAACTGTGGATTTTCAAGGTTCCCTTCTTCCGTCTCAAAGATTTCAAGCTTTCAAAGGACATGGAGTGGATCAATGTTAGAATTCCACGTCTCTATGATAGAAAATGGAGATACAGTGTTGGAGACTTTGAAGGACAACAAACGCTGGCCTCAACCTGGAAGAGAATAATCTCTTGTCCCATAGAAAAACTCTCTAAGATTGGCACTCTCCTAGCTTCATTTCAGCGATTGGCGTTGGGTGATGAACTAGAGTCAATCAGGAGAGATGTGGAGCTTATGCAGGCCTTACTTAAAGATATTGGCCCCATGGAAGACCTAGACAAGAGGGTAGAGGTTTGGTTGAAGGATATCACAGAAATTATTGACCGTGATGCTAAGGATCTGGAAAAGTTTGTTGAAAGAGCCAAAGCAGAAGCAATTTTCAGTAGGCATCTTTCGATTTTCAGGAAATTGAGAGATCAATCAACAATCGCAACAAAGATCAAACAGATCAACAATAAACTTATTGATATCTCCGACAGAAAGTGGACCTATGACATTGGAAAAATTGAAGCAAGAAAAGACTCATATGCTGAGAATCCAAGCCAACAACAGCATGTATTATCTACCTCTGCTGATGCCGTTGAAAATCACAATATCAGAAGTTCAAGACTCAAACTGCGGCCATCTACAAATTTGGAAGAGAAGGTTGAGTCAATCAGAAATGAGCTGAAACTAATGAGTGCTTTGTTTGAGGATGTGGAATCAATGGAAAAACAAGACAAAAGACTGATGGTTTGGGTCGAGGAAATGAAAGATGTTGCTAGAGATGCACAGAAGTTCAGTGACTCCTATGCTGAAAACGTAGAACAGAAAGGGATGGTTTCTTTCAGAAGGTGTTTCTTTGCTCAATATTTGGTTCTAAGGGAAGTTGACAGGATCAAGAATCATATCCATCAACTTTCAAAAAAAAAGAGGATCTATGATGTTGGAGGCATTAAAGGAAGGAAAGGCCCAAGCTCTGCAGTTGAAATCCAACCAGAAATTTATGAGATTACTGAAACTAGTAATATTAATGATCTGGAGGGAGCTCAGCCTGTCTCCTTGCATGCGGGGAAATTGGGAGGATTCACATTTCAAAATCTTTCTATTATTCTACGCAATATATTACTGTTGAATGGTAATCTGCTAGCTGATCCACTTGAAGAAAATGTTGAGTCAATCAAAAGAGACTTAAGTCTTATGGATGCTCTATTTGAGGATGCAAGGGGGATCAAAATACAAGATAGAAGACTGAATGCTTGGGTGAAGGAAATGCACAATGTTCATCAGGATGCACAGTCTGCTATCAACTACTACAATGAAGCAACTAAAAGCAGAAGGTGGAGCTTCTTCAGTAGGTATGATTTATGCTATGTTTGTCTGGGGCGAAATAATTTTCCATAAAACATTGTCCACATTTTTTGTGCGTTTGGTACAATAAAAAATGAAAGTCTAATGGAAAATATTTTTCATGGTCAACGAAAAAGAAGGTTAGTTGGGTGGAAAATGTTTTTCACTTTTGAAAGATAGAAACTGTTTTTTGAACTTAAGTCTTACCAATGCCCCCACACTACCACCACTGCCATCACCTCCACCGCCACATCACCACTGCCACGACCACCATCATTGCTGCTGCCACCACCTCCTCCACCTCCACCACCATGGACACTGCCACCACTACCGCCGCCACCCCATCACCTCCACATCCACCCTACCGCTGCTCCTACCAGCACCACCACTAATACAACTATTAGTATGTTAGTCTGAAGAACGTAACCAAACATAGGAAATAGTTTCTTACAGAAAATGTTTTTTTTTGGAAAATGCTTTCTACTGAAACAAACGGAGTGTTACGTTTCAATGATTTAAATGCTCAAGTTCTAGGCAGCAATCATTTAATGTGAATCCTGAACAAGAGATCATTTCCCTATTTTACATATGTTTTTGTTGTCAATCCAATCAAACATGGGATTTGATCTACTCATTTCTCTATCATCAACTTTCATTTCATTACTACCAGTCCTTTTGCTGAGGCACAGGATTGATTCATTCCTACTACTATATTCTTCATAGATCAATTTAACGTTCTCACTGTTTCCCAATTCTACAGGCTGTTGATGGAATGCAAGATCGGATTCATCATGATGGAAATTCAAAATGCCTCTGAAAGAATGTTGAAATATGACACTGAGCATATCAAAAGAAGAGAGGAGTTGGCCACTATAAGTAGAAGCCCACATCATACTCCACCTACTTTTGTCATCAAACAACCGAACATCACTGGCTTTTCGTCTAATGTACAAGCAGTGCTGGCTCAGTTGCTCACAAACGACAAAAATTGCCTCGTCATTCCAATTGTGGGTATGGAAGGCATTGGGAAGACAACCCTTGCAAGGTCGATTTATAGCAATAATGCTGTTTTGTACCATTTTCCTTGCCGGGCTTGGGTATCTGCATCTTCATACTGCAATATTGAAGCACTCCTTAAGGGCATAGAAGAACAGGTTCTGATGGGGATTCAAGAACAGAATAGGAAACCGATTGTAGTAGCAGATCTGAAAGAAGAAGTACTAATGGGGCTCCAAGAACAGAAAGGGAAACAAATTGTGGATGAACCGATGCAGATGCTAAATGAAGTCTTAGTATCTACTCGGTATCTCCTAGTCCTGGATGATATGAGGACAACTGAAGTCTGGGATAGACTGTTAAAAGAATTCCCAAGCACTTTGCATGGTAGCAGAATTATTCTTACTACACGTGATAGTAGCGTACCTACTCATGCTAACCCAAAGAGTGTTCCTCACAAACTGCAATTACTAAGTGATGATGATAGTTGGGCTTTATTTATCCAAACTTTGACAATTCCTGATGGACTGCTGGAACAGAGCAAAAAAATGGTCACAAGATGTGGGGGCTTGCCTTGGGCGATTGTAGAACTGAGGAAACAATTTTTGGGTGTAGAATCCAGTGCGTGGTTGAGTGTGCTTAAGAATCTTAATAATGGCCAAAAACCCTGGCTAAAGACACTGGAAGCAATCAAAGTCCTGCCCTTGTACTTGAAGCGCTGCATCTCTTATCTCAGACGATTTCCTGCAGGGTTTGAGATCTCCGTGCGAAGATTGATTGTGTTGTGGGTGGCTGAGGGTGTAGTGCATCAAAGGAGAGGGGATGAAGATCCTCCTGAATCTGTAGGTGAGAGGTATTTGACAGAGTTGTTAGACAGGAACATGGTTCAAGTAACAAAAAGGAAGCTGAATGGGGCTGTTAAGAAATGTCGCCTACCTCATGCAATTAGAGAACTCTGGTCATTAGAAGCAAAGAAAGCTGTATCCCCTAAAAGCTACACAAGAAAGGGTTCCAAGATATCTCCACAGACTTGTAAAATTCGTCATCTTGCCCACATTTCTGATCAAACAGATGTCAGCTTTGATCATACTGATGGTGAGATCACAAATCTTTCTACTCCTTTATTACCCGTTCATAAACACGTCATCTCTTTTCGGTCATTTGATATTCGTGAGGGATCTCAACCTGGAGAAGAATTAGGGGGGTTTCTTGACCGATATATTTCTTGTGGGTATTTTTTGTCAATGCGTGTGCTCGATCTTGAACGTGTATTTAGACCTGAGTTGCCCAAGTCACTCGGTGAACTAGTCCTGTTGAGGTACCTTGGCCTGAGATGGACTTACCTAGAGGAACTTCCATCATTCATAAGTGAATTGCTGAATCTCCAGACACTGGATTTAAAACATACTTCCATCAGCACTCTCCCTCCTTCAATCTGGAAGATGGAACTACTGCGACACTTATACTTGGATGAGAGTTATCGATGTAGATTTGTTCCTCGACCAGAATTCTACTCTCTGACAAACCTCCAAACATTATGGAGTGTTTTCATTGACGAAGACAGTCCAGTGAAGTTTGAGCTGGACAGGTTGATCAATCTGAAGAGATTGGGAGTGACAAGTCGGATAATGTCATCTAGGCGAGAGGCAATGTTGTCCCAACTAGAAGCAGTGGCTGACTGGGTTCAAAAACTAACTCAGCTTCAATATTTAAGGCTGAAATCGTTTGATAAACATGGTCAGCCTTGGTTTCTACCCTTAAAGCCTTTGTCTGCTCACACAAATCTGTCCAGTATATATTTGCTTGGTTTGATAGAGGAAAAATTTCTTGTGTATGGATTACCTTGGGCATTAACTGAACTTACTTTGTCAGCATCAGGACTAAAAGAAGACCCCATGCGGACATTGAAAAACCTGCCAAACCTGAGAATTCTTAGGTTGTTCTCAAAATCTTTCATAGGAAAGCATATGCTTTGCTCTCCAGGAGGCTTTCCTCAGCTTCGAGTCCTTGCACTCTGGAAACTAGAACAGCTAGAGGAATGGAAGGTGACGAAAGGAGCGCTTCCAAATCTCATAGATTTGGAGATTAGATCCTGTACAAAGTTGAAGATGCTTCCTGATGGATTGCAAGATTTGAGGACCCTCCAGAAGTTGAAGTTAACAGATATGCCCAAGCAGTTCACAGATAGGATTACGGTTAACCAAGGTGAGGATTGGGATAAAATTGCACATGTTCTTCATGTCTATATTGATGATGTTTTGGTTGATGATGGTGAAATACCACTAAATATGGAACTGTTGAACTCCACAATCCATGAGAGACAGAAAATCTTCCTGAAGAGGTTAGTCTCAGCAAAAATCCAAGTAGACTCCTCTGAATGTCCCTTCTGCGGAGCGGAACCTGAATCTGCAGTCCATCTGTTCTTCTTATGCAAACCCATCAAGATGATTTGGTTTGCCAAGTTGAGTATTAGGACAGATGATTTCTCTCACTTATCATTCCCAGATTGGATCAACCATATTCTCACTCCATCCTTGATATTTGGAGTTTCTCCTCCAAGCAAGTCAAATTTTGTGCTTTTTGCAGTAATTCTCATGGAAAAAACTTGGCTTTGGAGAAACAGAGCTATCTCTTGCTGTCTAAAGGTTGAACCAGATACAATTTTGAAAGAAACTTGCTCAGCTTTCAATGATCATGCAAAGCCTCAGCTTTCAGTGAACATGCAAGGGAGCTTCTGCTTCAATGACTAACTTTGGTGCTGCTTTTCAAGTGGCATGTCGATGTGTTATGGTGGCATTTCTACGACAGCTCGTATGGATCCTATCCATTCATTTGTTTTCATGGCCTGTTTTGTGTTTGATTTATGTATTCCTAAACTTATTGTTTGTGAGCCTGTTTTGTGTTTGATTTCTGTAATCCTAAACTTATTGTTTGTGAGCTTGTAGGCTCAACTAGTCTAACCTCTGTTTTCTCGCGTGTAGCTTGTTTTGTTTCTTGTAGTTTTAATGGAGATGATGTAATCCACAAGAATACACAATTTTATTTCTAAATCACAAATTATTATTACTATTACCAAAAATTTCATATAATATTTATCATAAAAATACATATAATATATGCATTTTAAAAGATATATACCAGAGCACAACATGAGCCTAGCGGGCAAAACTTCAGACTTGAAATGTGCCCCTTCTAAATCTCAAATTTAATTAAACTGATTACTCAAGTCCTTCGTAACCACTTAAAGAATCAATCAAAACAAAACAACTCTATGTATGTATTGTCGGTGCGTGATTTGGACTGGTTGGTTTACTAAACAAACACATAGAAAGGGATATATCCACTATTCAACATATGAAAGTAAATATATGTAAATTATTATAAACTCATAATTTAAATCCTTAAAAATCATTTACAATGACATCGTACATAATTTTGAATATTTTTTTTTATATATATAACTGAGATTGCAGTAAATTAAAAAATTATCTATCATATCATTATAATTAAAATTATAGTGCATATTTTACGGGCCACAACTGTTTTTCGATATCCATATTGAATATTGTAATAATAAATAAATAGATTAATTACATTTTATACTTCTATAATTTGATTCAAATTTTATTTTAATTTTTATAGTTTGAAATTGAATAATTTAATTTTTTACACTTTTAAGGACTAAACAATAGTCAGAAAATTGATAAATGGCTTAAAATTATTAATTTTATTCTCCAATTTAAACAAAAAATACCAAATTAAAATGGGGAAATTGGCCTAAGGTTCCTCCTCTACTTTTGATAGGAGGAGAGGTCCAAAATAATATGTTTTGATGGCTAAGGTCCCTCAAATTTATTTTAGGTTATAAAGTACCTAAATTACCCTTCCTTTATAATATAAATTTGTTTGAATATTATATTGTTGACTTAACTGATAGATTTTGGACACGGAATTTGCAGTGGAGATTTCGTCGGAGTTTTCGGCGGAGATTTCAGTGGAGATTTCATGGTGGAGATTTCGTCGGAGATTTCAGTGGAGTTGACGAGAAAGATTGCTACAATCGTGTAGATTTCGTCGAAGATTTCGTCGAAGATTTCAGTGGTGTTACAGTGTGTTGATCGTGTAGATTTTCAGTAGAGTTGAATCAGGTTTGTTTTCGATGGAGATACCACATGCATTTTGATTTTTGTTTTGAATTTTTGTTTAGAGAGAGGCCAGTTTGATAGAGTTCATTTTTATTTTTGGAATTAATTTTTTATTATTTTGTTTTTTGATCAATTTCAAAGAGTGTTGACAGTGTGTTGATCGCGTAGGTTTTTGAGTGAAGTTGAATCAGGTTTGTTTTTTATTTAGATTCCACATGGATTTTGATTTTTTTTTTTGAATTTTTGTTTAGAGAGAGGGCAACTTGATAGAGTTGATTTTTATTTTTGGAATTAATTTTTCATTCTTTGTTTTTCGATCAATTTCAAATAGTGTTGACAGTGTAGGTGATTTTGATGTTTAGAGTTCAGTTTTCGTGCTCTGTTTTTTATCAACATGTTGGTCAATGATAAGTTTTGTTCTATGTTTTTTCAAACCAGAGAAATTTCATTTTCTGCACTTTTGTTTGTGTAGTCCAGAGGAAATTATAAGTGCATATGGACATATTATTAGAAGTTTCTAATGCAGATAGAATATGAGAAAGTGAATGTAAGTTCATAAATTTCTCTGGACTTGTATTTGCAATTCAGAGGAAATTGAAAGTTTATTACTCACTTTCAGTTTGTAGTTCAGAGGAAATTATATGTTTGTAGAAGATAAATAGAAATTTTTGTTTCTCTAAGCAAAAGTTATTTTTTGTGTTTTTTCTTTCAGTTTAGATGGACAATGCAGTGTTTTTTGTTATCTTCAAGCTGTATATAAGTTTGTAAATTTCTCTGGATTTTTCTATGAGTGCAATATTACAAAATGACGCATAGAAAATTGTTAGCTTGTAGTGAGGTGAAAATCACGGAGAAGCCTATAATTTTATAACATGTGTGATTTTTTTCTATGATTGTGTTTAATAGTTAGCAGTAAATTTCTCTATGATTCATTAAGTTTCTGTGATTTTGTTTTTTATCATCTTGAAGGTGAATATCAGTTTGTAGATGTCTTTGGACTTTTATTTTAAGTTCAGAGAAAATTATAATTTTTAGAAATTTCTCTGGACTTTTATATTGTTCTTGTGAAGTGTTTCTATGTTAAACAAATTATCTTTGTTGTTTTTTGTTTCAGTTTCAATGGACAGTGCAATGTTGTTGCTGTGCAAATATGGGAATGATACTATTGTCATTAATGTTTCATGCGAATTGAATTTTGAGGAATTGGTTGGCATTTTGTGTAAAACATGGGAGAATTTGAAACCTGAGACTATGTGTATTTCATATTCTATTTTGGGCCATCCGAATTGTATGGTTCGAAATAATATTGATTTTCTGAATATGTTGAGGGTTGTTTGTGCACGCGGTGTTGATATAGTTGATGTTTCAGTTAGTAGATGTAGTACTTCTGATGAAGAGGATGAAGTGGGGTCTAATTGGGTAGATGTTGTGGATGGTGAGTGTGATAGGCTGGGGGGTGTTGAAAGGAATTCACTCTCTAAGTTTTGTTCTCACCAAGAAAAGGTGTTATTGTCGGCTAGTTGGCGGAATAATATTACGAGTGTTGGACAAAAGTTTGAGGGTGGTGTGGTTGAGTTCCGTACTTTTTTATGCAAGTATGCTATTGAGGTTGGTTTTCAGTTTACGTATGTTAAAAATGACAAGCTGAGGGTTACGGCAGAATGTGCATATAAGGAATCAAGGGGATGTATGTGGCGTGTACATGCTTCTGTTGAAAAAACAAATGGGTTCTTTTACATAAGGACTTTGAACAATGAACATACATGTGGTGTGGTGGTTCGTACAAGTAAACATTCGAGGATGATTTCCAGCTTAGTTTCTGGGCTGATACTTGAAGAGGTAAGTGCAAAACCTTTAACTCGTCCAGTGGATGTTGTAAAAGAAATAAAAGACAAGTATGGGGTCTCAATCAGTTATAACTGTGGTTGGTTGGGTGTTGAAAAAGCAAAATGTAGTACATATGGGGATTCTTGTTTGTCATTTGATCAATTACGATGTATTTTGATGAGACATTGAAGAACAATCCAGGTAGTCATTTTAAGTTAGATTTTGAAGATAACAAGCGTTTCAAAAGAGTGTTTGTGACTTTTCATGCATGCATTGCTGGTTTCAAATATTGTCGGTCATTGCTTTTTCTTAATGGAACATTTTTGAAAGGACGATACAAAGGAGTTATGCTTGCTGCAATGGAGAAAGATGGGAATGAAGGTAATTGTAAATATATCTAATTTTATCTAAGTATGTGAATTTTGTATACATGTAGGAATTGAGTGAATGTGAATTTTCTCTAGTTTTGGCCACTGTGTAGATTTTCTATGGTTGTGGCCACTGTGAGAATTTTCACTGGATTTTGGTCAGTGTGTGAATTTTCTCTGGATGTTGTCATTGTCTGAATTGTATCTGTAGGTGGTCACTAAGTGAATTTTCTCTGGATATTATGATTGTGTGAATTTTGTCTGTAGTTGGTCACTAAGTCAATTTTATCTGGGTGTTGCCAATGTGTGAATTTTCTCTGGAGTTGGGCACTAAATGAATTTTCTCTGGATGTTGGCAGTGCCAAACTTCTCTGGTTGTTTATTGTTCTATTTTTCTCTGCATGTATATATCTAATATGCTTGTTCCTATTTGTTTCGTAGTTTTTTTTCCTGTAGCTTTTGCTGTTGTTGATGCTGAGAATAAAGACAATTGGTGTTGGTTTCTTGAACATTTATGTGGAGTATTGGGATTAGAAAGGGTGATAAGTTTCATATCAGATCGACATTGTGGAATTGTGGAGGGAATTGCTAGGTTTTTCCCTAACTGCTTTCATGGATTTTGTCTGGAACATCTAAAGAGAAATTTGAGGGATAAGTTGTCATGTGGAAACACAAATTTGGTTAGGGAGACGATTGTGTCCAAGTTTTCAGAATGTGCATATGCTCCAACAAAGGCATCATTTCATTTCAAGTTAAATGAATTAAAAAGTGAGGGAGGAGACATTGTGAGTGTTTTCTTGAGAAGTTTACCATATGAAAATTGGAGTGATGCATATTTTGCAGGGAAACGTTATGGTGAGATGTATTCAAATGTTGCTGAGTCATTCAATTCATGGATACGAGAAGCTCGGCACTTGCCAATAACAAATTTGGTGGACATAATATAATGATATTAATAAGTATAATAAATTATTAACTTTAATTAATTAACCTTATCATCTCTATAACTTAAGTTTGTAAACTCTTATTATATATATAATCTTAATTATAACTCATTATTCTTGAAACCTTAGTATTTTTTAACTTTTTTTATTTGTATTTTAGTTAATCTAGGAATTGAAAAGTATTTATTAAATGGATGGATTGGATATGTGCTGAAGTGGTGGACAAGTAATTAATTCAATGTTTTATATGGATTGGTGACTATAATAAAATGTGATTCAAGTTTGAAAATGCTATGATTTTACCTCCATTGAGCAAGAGACCTGCTGGGAGGCCGAAGAAGAACAGAATTGCTTCTACTGGAGAGTTTAAAAGGGTGATTAAGTGTAGTCGTTGTGAGAGTATTGGTCACCATAATAAGAGGACATGCAAGGAACCTTTGTTAAATAGTTGAGGATTATACATTTTATTGATTGAATAATACATTTGATGATTACTTGTGTATTTTGTTTTGTGAAATGTATTTTTTAGACAGTGTATATAATAATATCAATCAAATTCATCAAGAGAAATTTTCCAATATCAGTTGAAGTGTGCATTGTGTTTGTTGATATATACTATAGGCAGTGGGTTTGTAATACCTGTCAAATTCATCAAGAGAAATTTTCCTATGGCAGAGAAAATTCTGTGTATTGTGT